CCGAATTCCTTATTTCACTGATTTTCCTGAAACTTATATTACTGTCAGATGACAAAAATCAGATTGGACAAATTTGGTCATTTTTACTTACACTTACTTTATTTATTTTTACATAGTAAGTTTATCTACAATCTATGATATTTCCATATAAATAATTATATTTTAGCTCATTTGTGGCACAGTTCAGCGGCGGGGCCGTAGTTTGTGTCTGATTGGTATCTGTGACTGTTGGACTTGTTAAGAAGTACCTTAGTAGCGGTAGCTAGGGGTTAACCCTTTATCTATGTTGCTTGAGGCACTAAAATAGTGTGCAAGCGGTGCAGAATAGCTACACTATAGGGTAGTCCCCATTCTAAAATATAGAGATGGATCTCTGACTAGGCCGTTTAACCAATTCTGGTTTGAAATTCGAATATAGAAAATAAGACGAGGTGATAACTATAACAAAAAAGTAAAAGTTCAGTGAAGTTATGGAGATCCAATTTAATTTATTCTTTACTTATAGAAAACGGAAGTAAAAGGAGTGTTCGTGTAAAGAAGTTTGGAGATCCAATTTAATTTATTCTTTACTTATAGAAAACGGAAGTAAAAGGAGTGTTCGTGTAAAAAAGTTTGGAGATCCAATTTAATTTATCCTTTACTTATAGAAAACGGAAGTAAAAGGAATGTTCATGTAAAGAAGTTTCGAGATCTAATTTATTAGTGTTCTGATTTTTTTTTACTCGCCGAAATCCATTGAATTTCGTATTCAACTTGTTAACTAAGGGTCAAGCACATTACATCTAAATCTGTCAAATAGATTTTGTATTCTGTAATAATGGACGCTTTAAAATAAACGTAGATAATAAAACTTACACAAGTTATTTCCCACAACCTAATTGTTTTAGGAATGAAAGTGACCTACGACATCACAAAGCCTTCTGGTCAGCGAGTGGTCAGTCTGTTTGTGAGATGCACCAAGTGTCGTGTCCCTCGTTTCCTTCCCGTGAATGAGAGTGATATATATTCTGTGGTAACGCCATCTTACTTAGCAAATGGTGGAGATGGATATAAGATAATCAAGGAAAAAGCAATTCGTCACTATAACCCCGGTAAGTATATTTCTAATGAACTGTTCCGATATAGAAAAATTTTGAACACTGCCATCTATCGTAACGAATCTAAAACACATTGAATCTTATTTGTCTAATGTTAACTTAACTCTAAGCTAATTAAACAAACATTATATATTATGCATTGTTGGCGAGGATGGCTCATTCTATTAAAAAGGAAATAACTAAAAATGTTTTTCTATGACTATATCTTACTTTTAAGCTATGAAACAACTGTCTCAGAAAAAAATTAACAAATATATGACACAAAAAAAAGAGTAGAGAAATTAAACAAGCTAAGGTCACTGTTAATGTTGATAATATGATTAGTTTAATGCTAGGAACCATACTTTATATTCTTAGAAATACTTTATTTATATTTAATTTAAAAAATATGCTTTTTAGTGGTTTCTGTGTATGGTTTGATGAAACCAAAATTTCGCTAGTGTCGCCCTCTAATTAACATTTTAATTAGTAGTTTTTGGACATGAAAGTCAATTAATTAACAAATATTTTAAGAAATGAATCGTATCTTCCAAAATTATTAATAATCTCTTTTATCGCTCACCAGAGGACTTGGATACTGATATTATACAGAAATATGTATTAAAAATGTCACCTATAACCACTGGGTTGGAGGATCGAATTGTGTTTCGGCAAAGTTCTTCGGAATGTAATGCAGGTATATCTGTCATTCTTTTATCATTTTGGATTCAGTTCATACTTACTTAACAATTTTAACTGAATGCTTGTAAAATCTACTACTTCTGTGACAAATTTTTGGGATTATGTCCGAAAGTGCTGTAAGCAGAAGTTCTTAATTCATGATTTAAAACAACTAATTATTCATTCCCATTTTATACATGATGATTAATTTTATTCCAAAATGTATTGTTATCATATTTCATTGTAGTTTTAATTTAACAAACTGGCCTTAAAGAATATCTACGAACCTATGTAATACATATTATTGTAACAGTTTCTGTTGTTAGTCAGGTTCTTTTTGATTATTATGTAAAAAAATAAAGCAAAGTCCAGTCTAGTTAATGAAAAGGAAAATGTTTTATTTAATCTACTGAAAGTTTTATAACTTACGCGGCTTTACGAACTAACAATAACCAAGCAATAGGCCTAAATAACACACACACACACACAAACAAAAAAAAAAAAAAAAAAAAAAAAAAAAAATCACAACTGGACGACTAACATACTCAATAGATCAGTAATCCATCAACAACTCAATAAATACTCAATAACTAACTAACTGAATAAGTAATAACTAACTAACTAGTGTTTTTATATTACAAAGCAAGAAAATTCGAGACGTATCATCAAAGATACATAGGAAATTTCTAGGCTTAACACGGTCACGCCAAATCTTCTTATGACAAGTAATACCAAACGTTTACGTTGCAACACAACCGAAAAATACCTATCTTAATAGCTGCTACTACAACTAAGAATAGACCTAAGCTTACACAGATTTCATTAAAATTATATATTTCTTAAGCCTAAGGTGATATCGTTTCGAAAATTCTATATTATTAAAACTTCAATAAACATTTTCAAGCAGACTGTATGCATGTTAGAAAACCTTTGCAAATCATTTCCAAACTAACTATTTCAAACAAACTTTCTCCGCATGTTAACAGAATACTTTTAGCATGTTTCAAACAAACTTCCTGTATGCGAACGTTCCGTGTTTTGAGCTTTGTGTAAATATCCACAACTTTCTAATTAGCGTTGGATGCATGTGGATCTGGTCTCAAACAAACTTCCTGCATGTTAGCAAAAATACTTAAACGAAGTTTCAAGTGGCACTTTTTGCATTTTGCAAAATTAATGTGGCTCTTATAAAATGCTTACTTTCGTTAGTTTCGAACAATTTGCCAAAGGAGCTGGAACAGAAATCGCAAAACAACACAGAAATCCAGTCTGAAGAATTGGACAATGTAGACGTTGATGATTTTATGTTACATGAAATTCTCCTGAAGAAAACCCGGATGAAGAAAATAGTGAAAAAAAATAAGATGTAGAAGAAAATCATTGGTGTGAAATGTTTAATCTCAGTAACAATGTAGAAATATAAGAGCAAACTTAAGACGTGTATAACTGTTTTTATTTTTCCAAATATAGATATCTGAAAGTGTAGATTAAATATAATTACTTATTTGTTCTTATGAATATAGTTGTTTTTTTTCGTGCTGAAAATTGAGTATAATTGTTCTCTTGTTTCTACGAATACACCTTCCTTTTTCATAAAATTTATGACATAATTAATAATAAAATAATCTGGAAAATATTTGGTACAAAATAAAGATTATACTAGAAGAATGATAGATTTTAAAGTTAAAACACAAAATCAAAATTAATCCAAAACTATAGGTTTTACATATAACAGTTTAAGTGTATATCAACTTTAAAATGTTGAACGTATTTAGTATTAAAATAATACCAACGTGATTCGTCATTCCTGATATTGTTGTCTCTCTATGGTTTGTTTGTTTGTTTGTAACTGCTAACTAGTCCAGAATTCAAGAGGAACAGTACCTGATACTCTTAATTGTAAGAGAATAAAGAAAATGAAGTACATAATATATGTTTTGTTTTTAATTATTTAAACATGTACAAGGGTTGGCCTTGTGGTAGAGCTCTGGACTATAGGGCCGGCACTCCTGCCTCAACTCTGTGTTATAAAAGTAACTGTAAATCTCTTCGTATAGATGGTGGGTGATAGTGTGTCAATTATTGGCTACCTTTTCTCTGGTCACTAGTTCAGAACTAGGAACAGTGACAGAATTTTAAAGGTACAATAATGTATCTATACTCTTAAGTTTGTTTGGAAGTTTTACACAGTATTACTTATAGAAAAGATTTATAGGTGTGGCCTACTGGTAGCATGCCTTTATTGCGAATCCAAGGAATCTCTTTGCACTGTGAAGCTGTAGGTGCATTATAAGAGTGACAAGCCAATCCACTATTCCATCAAACAAAAGTTGGAGGTTGTTGATCAGCTTTTCAGTTCAAAATTAAGTTTTGCTATGTACTACTAGCTTTGTGAGAAATTATAAAACAAAGAAGATAAACTCACGTTGTCCTAAATTATTTAAAAGAGGTCATGTACGATAACAACTCACTTACTACAGATGCTTCTTACTAGCCAACCACAAAGTAGATAACAACCCACTTACTACAGATGCTTCTTACTAGCCAACCACAAAGTAAACTTTATTTGTTCTATTGAAATCAAAACTATATAGTTATAGTTTCCATACAAATACGTTTGTTTGTTGGATTTCACTCAAACCTACAAGAGGGCTACCTGCACTAGCAGTCTTAATTTGGAAGTGGGTCTATGTATTAGATCTATTAACACTAACTCTTACATAAAACTTTTAAATGATAAACCAAGAGTGGTGACCTTTTCTATAATAGTTACCTTACAGATTCATTCACAACTAGAGAGCTTACACTGTGATGATCAACCCTTATAAGAAGCTAGCGTGTTCTACAGGAAAACTAACAAACAACTCTGAAACACCACGTTTTAGAAGTTACTTTCATACTCAGCAATACTAAAAACTTTCAAGTTAGAAATCTTTCTTTTTTAAGTACATTTACCTTTAACAAATAGTTTTTAAATGCTGCAAAGAAAGGCTTGTGAAATACTTTTAGCACAAGAGACATAACCCTTTACAACAACCATCAACAAAGAGAAAATTAGTTAACTGTACCTATAACTGATCCAATATAAAACACTTTCTTGAAAACTATAGTTATATCTTAAAAACTAATTAGAAAAAAACAACGATTATTTTATACACAATTCTATAAAAATGAGATTGTTTCCAGTCTCCAAATCACTAAAATGATAACTTACTGTACGAGGTTAAAAAGTGGTAAAAAAAAAAACCCGATGAGGTTGGGAAAGAATCGCATAAACTCTACATGTTTCGACGTATACTCTTGCGTCATCCTCAGGAGTGTAATGCTTTGAAAAAAATAACACATATTTATACAGTTATCAAAACACCAATTTACATATTAAAGAATTTCACGCCATCTGCTGACAACATTTCCATCAGGTCCATCATCTTTATTCAATAATTTAAATTTACTTTTTTTACATTTAATTATCTCAATAGATTTACGTATATTTACACCAATTACATTTCCAGGTTGTGTTAAAATAAAAAAAAATTCCAATTGAATTGTGCGATTAGTTTCACTAACATGTTCTGCTAAATGGTGAAATGGTAATATTATTATTTTTAACATTTATTTTATGTTCATTCAGTCTGAATTTTAAATTTCTTTTAGTTTGTCCTATATAAACTTTTTATATCCACATAATATTTTATATATGCCCAAATTTTCCATCAAATCAATTTTATCTTTAGTTATTGATCTTTAGGTCTTGACAAAAAATAACAAATTATCAGTGGCGACATGTATCCGTATCATATGTAGAGTTTACCAAACAACAAACTCATATGACGCTACGGGTGGCTGTTGTCGTATTCACACATCGTTACAAACAGTTGTAAAAAAGTTAAAATTTTCTAAAAAAAAATATTTTTTTCTGGGAAGAACTGAGCGGGAAAGCTGTTCGGATTGTCCTTTTTTAGTCATACACAACTCACTGCATCAAAGTGATTCAATGTACAGGGCTCACAATTTTCATAAATTTTACGGAATAATGTTTTATATATTAAAAGTGTTACCGTTTATTGAAAAAATATTATTTTTTCAAGAACTCCACTTTCTCAGTACTGCATTTAAGAAGTACACTAATTAAAGATATAATCAAACCCTCGCGTACAGTCCTAGTGAAAATTGTGAGGGGAGTACTTTCATTTAAAATTGTGTTCTATTATAAAGAAATGGTTGTTGCACATACAACAGTTATTTTTCTAATTGTCTGAATCTTGAATGCCCAAAGTGTGAAATTCTTAATGTATTTTTGTTTGTGGTGCCATTCAATAGATGGCGCCACATTTTATAAGCCTCAATCACCACTTCTGGCAAAGAGATCTTGCATTTCAGCACAACAAATGGCACTATCGTATTTATTATTTCGGTCACATAGATAGATATATAGACGGCTACGTCATTGCTCCATTACAGTAAGATATAGCAAGAAGATTATACACGTACCTTTACCGGACATTGTACACCTTAGATTCATACTTTTAAAAACATTATGTGTTGGTTGTAACAATAATTTAAGACCGACACACTAAAATCAATTGCTTAGAATTAAAATGTCAATTCATTATCTGGTAATAAACTTTACCATTTTAACTTTGTTCCATATTACTTATACTTTGGTTTACTTCAAGTTTTGTCATTTCACTTAAGATATTAACATCGAAATTCACAAAAAGCCTACATAATTCTAAAAAAAAACAATGAATGAAAGCAAAGGAGAATATATTATAGTATATTAATCACATTATATCTGCCACATCCAATGCCGACGAGGCTTTCGTTCAATACCATTACCACGGCTTATCAAGCTAGCTGAGATACGACATTGTAGTAACTAGTATACTACTACTAATACTAGTGGTTTAGGCAATTTTTATGACCAACTGTTACTGTGTGAACCAGATTAAACAGGTGAATTGTGATCATTATTTTTACGTAAGTCATTAGAAATGAGATTTTTATGGTATAGATTAATAATACAATATTTATTTACGTTATCAACACGACAACAGCTCCATCCGACACGTTAGGCCTAACGGAAGTACTTTGTTTATTTGGAATTAAGCACAAAGCTAAACAATGGGCTATCTGTGCTCTGCCCACCACGGGTATCGAAACCCGGTTTACAACGTTGTAAGTCCGCAGACATACGGCCACTGGGGAGCCGCAAAAGTACTAAAGCATTTACTAATGTATCATTGCACTAGACCGCACTTACAAATACACTTACTTACAATATTCAACTACGAACTTAACGTTTTTCTAAACGTAATGCAATATAAATAGCTCACTCTGATAATAAATTCTATCTGTGGTATATGTTGAGGCTCACCTCCATCAAGGTGGTGATCATAATTTTCCTGTGACATTTCGTTTCACTTCTAAATCTTCGTACAAATAATTACGAACCCTTTTTATACAATTTCCTATACCGTTGCCCCCTAATGGATTCAAGTTGAACTTAACTCTAAAATATAAGCTCTAATTTTCAGATGTTGTTGTTGTTGTTTGTCATTAAGTACAAATCTACGTAAATGGCTCTCTGTGCTCTGTCCACCACAAATATCGAAACCTGGTTTCTAGAGGTATAAGTCCGTAGACATCCCGTTGTGCTACTGAGGGACGATTTTTAGATAGGTATGATTCAATTCATGCAGCAAGATACACTCATGTTTAAAGAACAAAAAATATATATAATCGTTTTTAAATACTCATTTTAGACTAATTATTAACGTCAGAATTACATGGTAAAACAATTAATTTAATTTCTTTAGTAGTAATAATAAGACAAGAAAAAAAGCATAAATTTAAAAAGGTTTATAACTCAGTATATTCAAAATTTAGTTTTGATAACTTCGAAAATAAACAAACTATTAATAAAATTGATTTTGTTTGAACGGTTGATTATTGTTAAGCTACACAGTGGTTGACTGTACTCTGCCCACCACGGATATCGAACCCGTTTACTAAAATATATATAAAGAAATTAAATAAACAAAAGAGAACTAAAATAAAGATCGAAAGATATTATTATAAAACTTCAAGATGTCCTTAATACTGTAGTTCAAATAATTTTCTGGTCATAATAGATATATTAATAATACTTAAATTAATATCACGAAACTAAACTGAATAATATTATTATAGTTTTTATTTATACACAGTTGAGGAAAAATAAGACAATCGTACGCTTCACAAATGCATCATTTATTCACGACCATAGTTTCGCTAGTAAAGGCATCATCGGTTTTATGCGTCACCTTTTTAGTTTTACAAACATCGAAAGTAAGTTAAAGAATTAAGTCTTACGTGCAGCTTTTAAAAATGCCTCTTATTTGAAAATTAAGAATACAAATTAGTCTATTTTGTTGAGTTTCGTACAAAGATACAAAAGAGCTTTCTGTGATAGCTGTCCCTAACATTAAAATGACATATTAGATGGAAGAAAACTAGTCAACACCACTCATCGCTTACTCTTGAGTTACTCTAATCGAATTTTAGGGTTTTAACGTCACTCTTATAACGCATTCACGGCCCCAGAATGCGAAGCGCGATTTTTGTGTGGTGTTAACGCGACGCGAGCTACATAACCTAGAATTCACAATCCAATATGCTGACCATTGGGCGGCTGTAATGTATGTAGCTTAGAAAGTTAATGGCCCGGCATGGACAGGTAGTTAAGGTGCTCGACTCGCAATCTGAGGGTCGCGGGTTCGAATCCCCGTCACACCAAACACGCTCGCCCTTTCAGCCGTGGGGGCGTTATAATGTGACGGTCAATCCCACTATTCATTGGTAAAAGAGTAGCCCAAGAGTTGGCGGTGGGTGGTGATGACTAGCTGCCTTCCTTCTAGTCTTACACTGCTAAATTAGGGACGGCTAGCGCAGATAGCCCTCGTGTAGCATTGCGCGAAATTCAAAAACAAACAAACAAACTAGAAAGTTAATTGTATTGGTTAAATGGCTAGGAGTTATGATATTATCAGGTTCCATTTAATTTAAAGAATGAAAATTTAATTCAATGCACAATAAAAATATCATACTCTTTTTAATTATTAATTTTTTAACTCGCAAGCATAAAAACTAACGAAGTCAAAAGTTTCACTTGATTTAACATTGACATTTTTTGTTAGCTTTCTACCAAAATGGTTGTTATACATAACAATAAGAAGTGTTTGATGAGTTTTCAGAATTTGTTTAAATATTCTGTAATATATCTGAGTTTGATTGAGAATTGTAAGTAAAGTTACACCGGGACTATTAGTTCATAACCATCCATAATTTTGAACTGATACAAAGAGGAAGTCAGTTTGTGTTTTATAATGTGATTAGAACAAATTATTGATACTTGCATCGATACCAAATACGGTCTTAAAAAGATATATATGTTTTTTAAACTCTAAAATAATCTAGTCATATTGTTATTCTTTTAAACAACAATTACATTAAAACACATCAATATCTAACTAGACTTGTCCTAAGGCGTTTGTCCCCAGTGGGACAGCGATAAGTCAACGGAATTACAGCGCTACAATCCAGGTTGCTCTAAAATATACAAACAAACCTAAGGCGTTAATATTAAGCCTTTTATAATTTTTGACGCTACATTCTTTATTCAGTCTCTTAGATTTTTCAAGAAGAAGAATGAATAATAATAGTATTGTTACGACAGCGGAAGTCACGCGACCCTAGGAGCATGCGCGCTGGAGTTTCTAGAAGGGTCATGAATTATCGAGAAACTCCTCGAATGTCCTAGTGTTTGCCCGGCGCCCTCTTTTTTTAGTATATAAGCCTGGCGAGAAAAACCAGCACAAAGACAAAAATAGATAGATCGGAGATATAGATAATTGAGTCAAGCGAACAGTAGGCAACGTAAATAAAGTGTGTGAATCGCTGTGGATTATAGCGTGTGTTTATAAAAGTAGTTAAGTTAATGTGACTGTGAAAATTCTATGTATTACTAAAAGTTTTATCAAGAAAGAATAAAAAAGAATATATGTATCGCTGAAGTTCTGCGGAAATTAACGTACAAGCAGATATGTAACAGTATTTTAACGCATTACGTATGTCATATCTATTGCTGATGACTCGTTTCATTCAATACAAAACTCCTCTGGCCGGCTGTTGTTGTACTTTATTCGTTAATACTGATATTGGTAATAAAATGTATTGTTTAGATATTTTACTGCTCGTGGAAACTTTTTTCTATGGAATAATTAGACGTTATGTAGCTAAAACGTGGTAGGAAAAAAGGAAAACATCCAATATAAACAAGGGTTACTCATTTTTTCGTATTGTGGCGCTGTTAGCAGCAATAATTTTGCCTTAGCGAATCGATGTTGAATGAAATAGGTGTTAGGTGTTCTGATTGGGTGAGGGGATGTTTCTACGCCTTTGTGTCGATCTTGACAATGTATCCTAATAACAAGTAGGGGGTGTAACTGGATGATTATATAGCGGTAGTCTGAATGCTAGTCATGTTTATTCTATCTAAAGGTTTAGCGTAGACCAGTAGACGTTTTTTATTTTCTTTTAATTGTGCATAGTAAAAACCTACAAAAATTATGTCGGGTGGCCAGAGTTTGCAGGATAGGTTAATTGCAGCTCGACATGCTCTTGCAGGTCAAGGGTTAGCAAGAAGTGTGTGTAAAGCAGCGACTGAAGAACTAATTGCTCCAAAGAAAAAACATTTGGATTGTAAGTTTTCTTCCTTTATATGGTAGTTTAAATTTGAAAAAATTAATATCTAAAGTTTTTAATATCAAGTTGCTGTATTGCAGAATTCACACTCTGCATTCATACTCGTAGTCCATTGTTTAAGTCACTTTAACTTTATAATTTTAACTACAAAAGTACAACTTACAATACAACTGCAACAATTATAAAAGGTGTTATATTTATAATAACCGCCTATTTATTTTTATTTTTTGAATTGCTATTTTAGTAATTTTTACACATTTTTCTGTCGGGAACCTTCTCAGCTGTGATATCTCAAACTGATCTGGTTAGATTGGAAAATAATTAGTAGCTAGATCTTAAAAATAGTTTTTTTCTTGATGTGTGACTGAATGAAGCACAATAAATTCTATTGGTTTTATACAATTACTGGAACTTGGAAGTCTTCATTAAAATATCTGATGGTAAATTACGACTATTGTTGGCAAGTCATATTTCCAAAATTATTTTACTTTGAACTTGTTCTTGGGTCATTTTTCATCAAAATATTGAAGGCCTATAATACGGAGTATTGCATTTGGCACAAAGTTTTACAACATCTGGAATCTTAACATTTTACATGTATTTGTTAAACATGCCTAAGGAACTATATGTGTGTATAAATAATGTTAATGAATGTAAACAGTAGCATACTCTTTTCAACAACTATGTACTTATGTCAAAATATTTCACTTCTAAGTTATAACAAGGGGATGTTTGGCCTTTCTTATTTTTATTTCCAACTCATTTTCCTATACTAATCCTGATCTTGTCCATTCTTTTCTTAATTTCCTTCAATCCTGCAATTTCTGTCAAGCTATTTTGTTGCATAAGAGAACTGTTCTAATAGAAAAGTAGCTTTAACTGTGGACAAGGTTAGGTTCTTCTTTCTTTTAAACTTGTGTCCTCTAGTCTTACTGCCTTTTTTTTTTTCATGTACAACCTGATTCAGACAAATTTTGAGCTAATGAGATGCATAAAAAAAGTCTCCAGTAAGAACTACAAAACTTCCGAAACATACTTTGTACAACCTTCGGCAACTAATGCCTTAGAACAGCTACATGTAATCTTACTCATGTGATTTTTGACCAAACAGTTCCTTCATGTTAACTTAACGGGGTTTTGTTTACATGGTACAGCTAGGGGGTGTGTCTGCAGGAAAGCCACATAAATAGGGGCTACTTTGAATTGAAGATTTACATCAGATTATGTATGCATTAAAGTTTTTACATGAATCTAAACAAATCTTAAAAGTAAAAAGAAAAGAAAAACAGATTTCTGAAAATTTGAATTTTATCAGTTGTAGTGAACAACAGTTGTAGTTCAATTTTGTTTTCTAATGTTTGTTATTTAAAGTGTGATACATGTTGTTAAAAGATGGTTCAACTCGTTCATAAAATAAACTTGTAACTTCTTCCTTAAAAGAGGTTAAGTAAGTTCATTCCCAGCATGAAATAGAAATATATATTCCAGCTAACACCTCGTAGCCTTAAAATTTTGAAGGCAAGATTTTCTCATCTCCACATCCATGAATATAATAACAATTTGTTACATATTCTGTGAGTGTATGTAGAATTCATTAGTTTTATAAATCAAAATTATTTAGTAAAACAAATTAGGATATAATGTAGAAGTCGTGTCATTTTCAAATTTGTTTTTACTTAACCCACCTAGACCCCAGCTATGTCTGTTGTATCCCAACTAGCCTGTGAGCCCTGGTATTAAACAGGTCTTGTTAGCACTGGAAATGGCATGGGTATCATGGTTGACATGCTATATTTTCCTTTGCTTCCACTTGTAAGTTCCTAGACATGCTTCTTTTAAGATTAAGACCATACTTGTGTAAGGTTTGGCACAGATATGTTAAAGAAATAAAGCGAATATTTAATAATGCACAATAAATATCTAAAATGAGTTTGTTCCCTGTCTTAAAATACAATAGAAATTATTTTACTTAATAGTCTTACTGTATAAAGATAAAACAAAATACTACGAGGTTGTGTAAAATGTTCCTATTGATTAGTCCGAGATATGCTTGGATATGTATTTCACATTTACTATGACATTGTAACCACTCAGTTCAGTATTTTCATCATTTTTTAGATCTTCTACAGTGTACAAATGAACCTAATGTCTCCATTCCACAAATGGCTAACTTTCTCATTGAGAGGACTCAACATTCATCATGGGTGGTAGTCTTCAAAGCTTTGGTCACTATTCATCATCTCATGTGTTATGGTAACGAGGTTAGTAGTGCTACTAGTTTCTGATCTGATGAGTTTCAGGTGGACTTTTAAAATAGATGTCTCATAAATGTTTTATTTAATATGCATATCAAAATCTTTTGAAGGAGACTTAGGCAGTGTATTTGACATGTGGACAGAGTTTACTATGGATTTTCTGATGATGTTTCAGGTTCATGAGACCTGATGAAGAAATCATCATGGAGCCCAAAGTGTTCTCAAAATCAATAAAGTTGGCAGAAGTGTATAGTATACTCTTTCCATACAAGTCAAAATATGTGAAAAGTGTTCTGCTCTAGCTGAGATTTAAGCTAGTGTCTTGAAACCAATGCTGTAACTACTGGGCTACCCGGACTTGTCTCAAGCAGCCACCTCTCTATCTGAAACATTACAGTGTAGTGTCAATTATTTTGTTTGGTATCTAACTTCCCATCACAATGTTTCAGTTAACAATATGTTTAATGAATCTTTATCTTTGAGTAATAAAAACTTGTGTAAGAGCTGACATTTATTTAGATTTTGTTAATGTTAATATCCAGTCTCAGTATCTTTAAATTAGTTTTTAATAAATTGGCAAGGCAGTAAACATGGCATCTGTATTTGTTTTTGCTTTATGATGTTATGAAAAAAATATATACATATATAATTATGTAATCTTTCAGCAGATAACTTAAGTGTTATTCTATTACAGAGATTTCTCCGTTTCTTTGCATCAAGTAACTACACTTTTGAACTTGGGAATTTCATAGATAAAAGTGGAGCACAAGGTAACTATTTGTAACATCCACACTCCTTTAGTTATGTGCCAAGATAGAGGTAGACCAGAAAATAATTCATATTGGAGCTTCATGGTGGTCAGTGTTTTAATATATAAAGGACATGCTACAAACCTAAGTGCAGATTTCAAAACATCCTCCAAACTCCGTATGGACTGTACTGAAGATCAATGCTAGAACAATCTTCTGAGCCAAAAATGTTTTATAAACAGAAAAATAAATGTTTGACTTTGTGGTTTAAATTCCGAAAGCCTGCAAAGCATTAGAAACCAATATGTTTAAGCTAATTGTGTCTACTGAAAATCATGTAAACAACAGACGATTTTTCTTTCCACGTCCTCTTATTTTGTCTAAAATGAACAAGTTGATAGAAACATGAAAAAAAAAATATTGGTAGGTTGTTATTTTTATAATAAGTAAAACTCCTGAAGCATCCTTTCTGTTGGTTTGAACATACTTGTAAGTACTTAGTTACTGGTTTTGATAAATGTTTGATTTAATCTTGAGATTAAGTGAAGGTAAAAATTGTATATCAAAATAAAAACTCCATTTGATTGATTTCTAAATGTTATTTTATAAGACAGTTTATTTAGTTTCTGAGTTGATCTGTTACAGGATATGACATGTCCACGTTCATAAGAAGATACTCCAAGTATCTCAATGGAAAAGCAGTAGCATACAGATCCATAGGTTTTGACTTTTGTAAGATTCACAGAGGGTAAGTATTAATGTTCACAGTTACTCTAAAGATAAAGGTGACAGATTTAATTTGAGAACTTTGCACTTTTCAGGAGACTCGGCAAAGTTTAGAACTTGGCTACTTGAGGATAACTTAGATATAGCTTTAGAAAGATTGTCGAATTAGAGAAAGAAAACAACAGATTGGGAACACAAATCAACTGAGCAAGACTGGAAATAGATGGCTATGGTAAAAAGTGGTTTATGGAAGTGGGGGTGAGAGCAAGAATTGGTTTTATACACGTACATAGTAGTAATAAAGTTGGAGATATAGTCAGGTTCATTTAGCATTCAGGGATCATTCCAATAGATTTGAATGTTTGAGGAACAGGATAATCAAGAGGTTTATGTAGTGAGAGTCTCTCGTTATGTAAGTGGATAAAGTTATTTGTATTAGGGAGAATATAAATACTAGGACAATAATTAAAATACAGGATATTATAGTGTTTAGTAATAACTGCTGGTACGAAGGGGGGCAATAGGGAGAATATAAATACTAGGACAATAATTAAAATACAGGATATTATAGTGTTTAGTAATAACTGCTGGTACGAAGGGGGGCAATAGGGAGAATA